TCTTTCATGCTTCTTTGAGGAAGGGTCACTTCCTCCAGGGAGCCTGTCTGAACCCGCCTTTTCCGTGTTTTCCTAGAGGCCTGTGCACCCGGTCATTGCTTGCATCATCTATGATTAACTACTTGGGAGAGGGGTTAGGGACCCTCCCTCCCCAGGCCTGGTATAATTGGTGCTTGAAAAGAGGAGGGTGTCACTGGGGTCCTAAAGGGGCCACACTTCACACTGAATTGGCAAACAGGAAACGAGGAAGAGAAGCTTGGGATAAAGCCAGCCCATCACCTCTGGCCCACCTGGGCAGGAAGCAGGTGACAGATGGATGGGAGTGCTGGTCCAGGTGAAGGCTTTGACAGTTCTGGGAAGGCCTCCAAATAGTTCAGTTGCCTCATCCTGTTGCACAAGTTGGAGTTTCATTCCTTTGGTTAAGTCAGTGGTTCTCAACCCTGGTTATACATAGAATCACTGAGAAGCTTAAAATATCTATGCCCCGACCCCACCGCAGACAGTTTAAATGTGAACCTCTGAAAGTAGAGAATAACACTGGTGTTTTTCAGGAAACTCCCCAGGTGATTCTAATGTGCAGCCAAGAATGGGAACTACTTCTTTAGTCATTGCTGTCTTCCTACAGCTTTCTTGGGAATACAGATGCTCCTGGGACAGTGCTCTGGAAGGTCCCACTGGCTTTGTGAAAGGTCAAGGTGGTGGTGTGGGGAGGGGGGGTTCCTAACACTCCAGGTCATGCTGGTATTTGTGTGCATTCATTGACCTGCATTTTCTCTCTGCATGTTGGCATTCCTGGGCACATTGTGTGCTGGTACAGAAGTGAGCCAGTGAGGGCAGGAAGGAGAGGTCACTGTCTCTATATTTATGAATTTTGTCTGGAGTCTGTCCTGACACGGGAAAGAGGGGCTCGAGAACACCATACACCACCTACAAAGAGTCCAAGTATGTAGATCAGCTCCTGCCCCCTGGGCCATATTTGGCCCTCTTGGCTTGCTTTGGATGCCTCTGAGATAAGAATGGCTTTCCCAGTGGCCTGCAAAACCTAAATATTTTCTATTTGGCCCTTCACAGAAAAGGTTTGCCTCACTCTGATGTAGATAACCAGGCCTTAAGTTCAGGGCCACAGCAGGGCTAAGAGGCCACCTCCAGGGGGGGCATGCCTTGTTCCGCACAGCCTGACCCACATAGTCCAGAGATGTTATGCTTGTGCCGAGCAGAGTGTGGTGTCTGTCCTCCGAGCCACATCACAGAAACCACACCTCCTGTTGTTAGGTGGAACTGGGCAGGAACCCACAGTCACAAAGTGGACCAGGCCTTAGAGAAATGGAAATGCATTTGGCTAATTTCCTTAGGGAAATACGTCTTTGTCAACTGAGCAACCCTTGCCCCTCCCTGGGTCATGTTCTCCACCCCTTTTAATTTGATGATAGTTTTCTCTTGCGTGAGCTCATGTACTAAAACTAAGAGCATGATGGTATGTGGATCCCCAGTTTCTCCCATAGTTGGAGACCCAGCCTTCTGCCTCCACAATGGGGTGGGGGTGGTGAGAAACAGGCCCCAGAGGACCTGCCTAGCTCCCAGGTGCCCTGAGTTGCAGATAAGGGCTTGGTTGTGTATTTTCTTGTGGAGGAGGCTTGAATACTATCTGCCCCTCCCTTGATGTCCCTCCCAGGGAGGGTTGGTTTGAAGAAAGTAGAAGGCTCTCTGGGGAGTTTCAGGTATATTCGCCTTACTGTGTTTTAGTTCAACCTAAAAAGAAACTCATACTGACATTTAATTTACTGAGCAAGCGCCTATTATGTGTTGGTACTATGCTAAGCCCTATAAGGGCAACAAAAGCAATTAAAGCACAAAGCTTGCTTGATCTCTTCCCCTATTTTCCCCCCTTCCATCCATGTTGTAATGCATGGAATATAATAGGAGGTACTGATGAATTGCTGTTGAATCACTGAACTCAGATTTGAGTGTTAGTCCCTTCCTCCAAAGAGGTGAATGACTCCTGATTGTCTTCCACTAGAGACCTTGCTTCTCCATCAGGCCTTTGTAGCTTGTTAGAGTTTGGCCTCTACCTGTCTGTCTGTTTTCCTTCCCCACTCTAGTGTAGGCTGTAGGCCCACTTAATGTTCTCAGAACATTCTCACATCTGTGCCTTGGGCTACAGCCTGGAGCAAATGCCTTGCCTGGTAGTTGTTTGCTGTTGTGATGATGGATTCTCCAAATCTCAATGAACCACAAAGTCCTTTTTGTCTTTCTATACCCAGCTCAAGTGTCATCTCTAGGAGCCTTTGATAAACTCCCACCTCCAGTTAAGACTGTTGTTCCTTTTATATTCCTACTCCTTTATAAGGAAGTGCAGTTCCACCAAGCCTTAACCACCAAGCTACCCTGTGTTGGTTACACTAAGTGTTCTTATTTGCCTTGTTTAGGTGTGTTTTTGGATGCTGAGCTCTTGGGAACATGGCTGTTTCTTTTTCATCTTGGTACCCTCATTGCCCTTAAAAGTATTTTATTAGTGGGTGCTCCATAACCTAATGATCAAATACACTGAGTCCACCTTCCTGCTTTTGATCCAGTGGAAGGGACCCTTGCTTGCAGGGACAGCTAATCCAATAGCTGTGATGTTCAGGGTAAGATTCAGTTCTTCTCATTGTTCAGAACATAGGGCTGAGCCAGCTGCTGTGGGAGTCTCTGGGAATAAAGTACCCTACCTTCCTCAGGTACTGCCCAGCCTGGGCTGCTCTGGGTATTGTGTATTAGAGTTTAAGGAAGCCATGGAGATCAGCATCAGAAAATGCTCAGAGAGATAAGCAACTGTGCCTTGATCTTACTCAGTGGAAAATTTTCCCACGGGGAGGTTTCCTGAAAGTGGATGAATTAAAGGAGGTAAACTATACCAGGTCAACCTAGTGGGTACCTTCAAGGGTTACTTAGTGCTTCTGTTGAGGAATTCAGGATATTTTCTAGACCTCTGGGTTCTCTTTGCTGCTCCTGAGGCAGTCCTATGGGTCTAGGAAAGCTTGATCTGTCTCTCTCTTTTGGATGCATTCTCTCTCAATCTTTATTATTGCTATTACTGCTATTATTTTTAATGAAAAAAACTTACACATACTTGGAACAGTTGGAAACAATGTGGGAATCCCACTTTACAGAGATAACCGTCACCACCATCAGTTGGTTGTGTTTCCTTCAAGACAGTTTTTTCCATCAATCTATGCAGATTATTAGAGTGCATTTAAAAAACAAAAATGGGATTATTACTCACATTTTTTCCTGCAATTTTCTTTTTTTTTCACATGACAACACATTTGGCCATTTTATCAGGAAGCTGTCTGATCCTCTTCCAAGCTGGGTTTAAACTGTGTCTTTGCAGTCAGTCCGTCAGTGGGCCAGCACTGGTGAGAGTAGCCCATGCCTTAAAGCACCTCTAAGGATAAGAGTAAACATTTAACACAGGGACCTGGGTGTTTAGAACCTGCTGCAGTTGCCGGATAGCTTTGAGGTCAAATGTGTGATTTTACAGGTTCGTTTTATGTTCATTCATTATCTATCACCAGGGAAAACTGATGGTTTAGGGGAAATACATTCTATTTATCCTGGGGTTTTGTCATCCCCCAGGGTACCCTTGGCTCAGTGTGGAGTGCTGCAGGAAGTATGCGGAGGAATATCAGAGTTCTGGGTGGACAGATCAAGAATTGTCTCAAACAGGGGAAGGGAACATTGCACTTTTGGGTGATTGGACCAGTGGGGTCCCATCTGGGCCTTGTGTCCTCTTCAGTCTTTAGTTTATTCTGAAATTTCCTGCCATTAGGGACCAATCACCATACCAAAAGGTATCACTTACAATAGATCCGTTGACCAAATGGTCCTTCTCATGGAAAGCAGAACCATAAAGCCAAGTGGGCCTGTTTCATTTTGGAGCTTACAGGATGATGATCGCATCTGGGTAACAATGCAAGTATCTCATACCGATAGAGGCTTACTATGTGCCAGACTTCCTTTAATCTGCATTTACACTTGAGATTCAAAGAGATTGAATAGCTTGCCCATAGTCAACACGGCCAGTAGGCATTGATACCTGTGTGTGTGTGTGCCCTTGTGCAAGTGTGTGCCTGTATTCACCTATGTGTATATGTACACACGTGTGTGTATGGAATGGGGTGCAGGAGAAAAGCACTTCCTCTTCTCTGCAAAATGTTGCTACGGACTAGATCAGCCTATCACAGACGATTATTGACCGTCACAGGCTTGGGTTGCCTACCTGGTGTGAGTTACACTTTGATGTTTGTGCACATGCCAGCTGGTTTCGACCAGTCCAGGTGGCCCCAAGTCAGAGGTTTGCCTTTCTCTGGAGGAACTCGGATTCCCGTCAGTGCTCTTGGCCGTCAGCTAAGAGCGCTACCTCCTAGCTGGAATGTGGTTTCTTTGGCCAACATGACTAGCAGTGTGCTTTGAAGCTTCGGTGGCAAGTTGGCCACATCAGGGACAGTGAGAGCCCTGGGGTCCCTGGGGGATGAAGCTTGCGCAGAGGAGAGTGAGGATGGAGAATGATTGTGAGACCAAGTCATTTAGCTGAAAGAGCTGGGGTTTTTAAGTCCAGAGAAGAAGAGGTTCAGAGGGAAGGAGGCCAGTGTAGAGAAAAGGGAAATCTGTTGCTGTCCCTGAGGCAATCCCCGGGTCCCTTAGGTAGGAGTTCTGAGGGAACATGTAAGTTCATCATCAGGAAGCTGGAGGTACCCGGGAGCAAAATGGGATGTCTCGAAGGGAGGTGACAGTGTATGTGGAGGTGCTAACACATGTCCCAAATGGACGCTCTTACCTGCGCATGGAAAATGCTGTCCTCAGTCTCAGCGCCCACCTGCCAGGTACATGGGTGCGTGTGGGGGTTCCTTCCTAGGCTGGCAGGTTGGACTTCAAAGGTCTTCACAATCCCATCCCATTCCGGGTGTCTAGGCTGCAGGGTAGTTTTGCTCAGAGGCCGCCCTGTGGACCCGCGCAGACCCATGACCCTGCAGACAAGGCTGGCGGTACGTTAATTTGCTAGAGCTGCTATAAGAAGTACCACCGACCAGGTGGCTTAAACAACAGACATCTATTATCCCATAGTGTTAGAGCTGGAAGTCCGAAATCAAGGTGTTGACAGGGTTGGTTCCTTTGAGGCCTGTGTGGCAGTGATCCGTTCCAGGCCTCTCTCTTTAGCGTGTTCACATGGTAGTCTCCCTATATGTGTGTCTGTCTTCAGGTTCCCCTTTTTATAAGGATATCAGTCATTTGAGATTTGGCCCACCCTAATGACCTCATTTCAACTTAATAACCTCTGTAAAGAGCCTGTTTCCAAATACAGTCACATTCTGAGGTACTGGGGGGTAAGACTCCAACATAGGAATTTTCAGGGGACACAATGCAGTCCATAACAGGGACAAGCAGCCCTCCCATGAGTCAGGCCCACATGGCTGTGGGCTGGGTACTCTGCGTGCTGCTGGGACCCTCTTTGGCCTTTTCCAGTGGCCCGATCACTTCTCCCTGGGAAGTCACAGGAGGACCAGGCTGTGACATTAGGTGAAATAGACATCATGTGGCATTAACTATATTCTCATTGTTGTGCAAACATCACCACCATTCATCTCCAGAATGTTTTTATCTTCTCAAACTGAAACTCCATACCTGTTAAATAATAACTCTCCATTCCTCTGTGTCCTCAGCCCCTAGCAATTACCATTCTGCTCTCTGTCCGCATGCATTTGACTCTTCTAGGTCCCTCATATAAGTGGAGTCATACGGTATTTGTCTTTGTATGATTGGCTTCTTTCACTAACCATAATGTCCTCAAGGTTCATCCATGTTGCAGTATGTGTCAGAATTTCCTTCCCTTTTAAGGCCGGATAATATTCCAGTCTACGTAGATACCACATTTTATTTATCCATTCAGCCATTGACGGACATTGCTGTTGCTTCCACCTTTTGGTGTTGTGCATAGTCCTGCTGTGACCATGAGTGTATGGACTTTTTAAAAAACTTTGTGCTTATGCATGTGTCTGTCTGTTAGAGAAAGGTTGAACAGATAGTCCCGGGGAAAGCACCTTCGCAGCCCAGACACCACGGTGTGTATTTTGACCTATGCATGTGAGCTACGATCATTCTGTATATGCTGTTACGGAACCTGAGCCAATAAAAAAAAAAAATGGTGTTTGCTGTGAAATTACTTGTTAATGTCCTTGTTTGGAACAGCAGGTTGGTGAGTGCCTGATCTGGGCCAGGCAAAAGCTGGTCTTATCCTCAGGGTCCCCTGTGTGGTTGGTACGATCACCTCATTGCTCAGTGGGGGAAACAGGCTCTGGGAAGCACAAGCTCACCCAGCATATTTCTACCGCAAAGGCGGGTTCCTAACTGGCTTCTCCTCTCCGTCTCTCCTAGACAAATGTCTGCAGACTGCGGCTGACCATACCCCCCGAGAGTCCAACCTCAGAGTCAGGTGAAAAGAAGGTTGAAAGAAAAGAACAAGTAAGCCGTCTCTGAGGCAAAGCTCTGACAAGTTCTCATCTTTGAGCTCTTTTATTTTAACCCCGTCCTCCTCCGACCCTCTACCCAGGCTATTCACAGAGTCTGAATGTCAGTGACTCTGCTGATGAAAAGGCCCTCCTGACCTTGCCACCCCATCTTCCATCTTCCCAGAAGTCTGACCGCCCTGCCTGGCTGGCTCCGCCAGCCCTCCTGGCCCTGCTCTTGTTTCTTTGCTGAACGCTGGCTCTGTGTGGCCCTGAAGATGTAGGGACGTTGGCCTCAGTGACAGGTGCCGTGGCAGGGAACGGGCTTTTCCTGAAAGAGCCCAGTCCTGTGGAGTCAAAGGGCCCATTGTGAGCTGCCCGCGGCCGAGCCTGTCTCAGCCGCTGGAGGCGGAAGCCCAGCTCACGGTGAAGGCCACCTGGAGAGAAGGAGGCCAGCGGGCAGCCTGGGCGCGCGGCGGGGGCACTGGGCTCGAGGGCGGAGCAGATTTCTGTGCTAAGTGCTGGGCCGCGAAGTTAAGTCTGACCTTGTCCTCGTCTTAGAGGAGCTCGAAGCTTTTCAGGGGAGACAGACCTGGGAGCAGTGTTGACGTGATAGTTCAAGTGTTAGGGTCCGGAAGGGCAAGAGGGGCTCTGGGAACACGGGGAAGGGAATAGCTGACTGCTGGGGGTGACACTGAAGCAGAGGCCCAACGGAGGCATAGGAGGTGCCGCTCACCTCTAGGCCTCTTGTCCCGGGCAAGCCATTTTCTCCTTCACAGAGAGTTAGGGGACATCTCCTGTATTCCAGGCACTGTGTTGGGTGTAGGGTACCATTACTCCACGGTGAGTACAGAGGTGAACAGAGCAGTGAGCAAAAAGTGCCGGTCATTCACAGAACTTACCTCTTAGTCGGGGGCAGAAGGAGAATTAAAAAATCGTATATTTTTTTAAAGATTTTATTTATTTATTAGAGCGAGAGAGCATAAGCAGGGGGAGCGGCAGGCAGAGGGAGAGGGAGAAGCAGGCTTCCCGCTGAGCAGGGAGCCCAACTTGGGACTCGATCCCAGGACCCTGGGCTCATGACCTGAGCTGAAGGCAGACGCTCAACCTACTGAGCCACCCAGGCGGCCCTAAAAAATCCTATTTTATAGAATTTTGAAGGTAGTAAGTGCTGATGGAGACAAATAAAACCAGAGAAGGGAACAAGAGTGCCGGGGGGTAGGTAGTAATCGTTCTTGTGCATATATTTTGTGTAAGCATAAAATAAAACAGTAAAATGATAGGCTATGTGATCATAGAAGTTTTAGAAAAGGAATCATGAGACAATGACAAGCCTTGGTATGGAGTTGCCCACTAATGTGGCCACCTGTAAAAAAGGAAGCTCCTCTGTGAGTGGTACATGGTTGAGAAAATCCTTCAATTTACTGGGTTGGTCTTTGTCTCTCCTCCGCTTCTCTTATCCCCTTCTTTTCCCCACTTTCTACTAAGCACAGAGCTGTCTCTACTAATTCAAATGATGAATGACAGGGAAAGGAGGAAGGGGGCAGGGAGGATGAGGATATGACTAGCACCAGGTTGAGAGAAAGTGAAGTTGCTTATCTGCTTAAAGAGGGAGGATGAGTCCCACGAAAGGATCCAGAAAAAATGCCTGGCCCCATGTGAGAGCAAGGCAAGTCCAGGGCGAGCCTGGGATGTCTCCTGCCGGAGAGTGAGGTGGGCACTCACACGACGGGGGTCATAGCAAAGGACCCAGAAGCCGGTTTGAAGGGGGTCTCACTGCCCTGGCAAAATTGGAACAATGTGAACATCAAAGTAATGACAGAGGTGCCTGGGTGGATCAGTCGGTTAGGCGTCTGCCTTTGGCTCAGGTCGTGATCCCAGGGTCCTGGGATCGAGTCCTGCGTTGGGCTCCCTGCTCTGTGGGGAGCCTGCTTCTCCCTCTGCCTCTCTGTCTCTCATGAATAAATAATCTTAAAAAAAAAAAGTAATGCCAGTAATATGTTTTGACATGTTGCGTAATAAAAAAAAGATTGACGAGTGTACAGTAATCATCAGAGATTTACAAAGGGTAAGCTCTTTTATAGAACGTCAGCTGATAAACTCGGAAAATCTCTATTTTGTAACCCCTAGGTCAGTTCATCAGTGGATGCAAAGGCTAGTTGGTGGAAGGTTATCATGGAACGGTGTTTTCACATGCTCCCAGAGGATCCCCTCACACGTTACCTCCTGGCCCCGAAGGTCCAGTGGTACAGTCTGGCAGCCAGCATTTCAGCCAAAGCTCCAGTCTAGCTTTCCCAGGACGGGGGCAGCCTGACCTATGGGCTCCCGAGGTGATGCAGCCAAGGAGTGCCTGATAACACCTATGTGATGTTCATGCCAACTTGTTCAACTAAATCGAACAATAAGGAAACAAAGAAACCCCACATGTGGGACATTCTGCAAAAACATTTGGCCAAAAGGAGACTAAGGAGGGTTAACATCAAATATAATGAGCGAACCTTGGTTAGATCGAGGATCAAAAAAAATCTGTAAAAGTTGTATTGGGGTAATTGTACAGCTTTGAATATGAACCACATATTCGATATTATTGAATAACTGTTACTTTTCTTACTTGTGATAATGGTACCTTGAACTATTTTCTCAGCCTTTGTGTAGCTTTGAATATTCTCTGAAGAAGTCTGGGGGTAAAAGCTCATCACCAGAACCACCCAGCCAGACACCTGTTGTTGGCTAGATGGAGGGGGGCGCTGTGCTGCTGGGGGGTGTCCCTTCTGCCCTCTCTGTTGCCTTGTCTGTCCTTTTAGGGAACTGGACCTGAGCTGTGTCCAGGGGCTCACGGCTGCTTAACACATGAAGAATCAGAAGGAGCACTTTTTGAGGAAGCGGCCTAAGCTGGAGGGAGTGAAGGAGAGGGGCCGTAGTGGCTGTCCCCGTGTGCGCGGCAAGGGAAGTGGGGAGTCTGGTCCGTTGGAGCTGGACCCCAGCTGCATGCCTGGGAGAGGTTTATGAAGGGTTTCTGCTGCTGCAGACACTGGAGGGCACGTCACCGCTGAGAGGAATCAAGTCTTCCCAGGCAGAGGGGGCGTGTGTTCTACATCAGGCGGGAGTCGGTAACCTAGTCATATCCTTAGATTTGCGCCTTTTGTCTTGAACAGTGCTTTTCAAACTTGTCAAAGCCATGAGACCCTCTTTTTTTTTAATCCAAATATTATCATGAGCCCTCGTCCGTAAACCAGGTCAAAGTGGCGGTATGGGGGCCAGAGTCCCTCCGGTGGGCGCGGGGGCAGCCGAGGGCTGCGAGGAACAGCGGGCAGCAGCCGTGGGGGCGGAACATGCGCCAGGCGGCCTCGCACGCTGCTGGCCGACCCGGTGTGCAGCCAGGCGCCCATCGGTGATGCGTCGGTGACTCACTGCCGAAGCATCGGGGCAGAGTGGAGGAGGAGGGTGGGGCCGGCCGTTTCCCCAGGACTGACGTCCTCGGGTGGTGGTTGCTCCAGAAGGTGCTGGTGGTAGAGCCGTGAGGCCGTTCTGAGTGATTTTGCCACCATGTCCTGACCAGCCTCCTGCGTTTGAGTCACTGGGGTCGGGGGCCAGGCACGGGCAAGGAGGCCCTGAAAGTGCCGCGCGATGCGCCTCCACCATGGTTGTCCCTCCCTGGGACGTGGTGGCCCCGCAAAAGTGCAGGGCGCCAAGACCTCGGGACCGCCCTCCCCGTGGAGGGGACTTGGGTTTCTTGGAGGGGCCGGGGGGATCGGAGCTGGTGCCGAGGGGGAAGTGGGAAGATGGGAAAGGCCTGCCAGGCGTCCGATGAAGCAGAACTGGTAGGACCACGTCCGGGATCCTGCTGGAGCTGCAGCTGACGGAGGGCGGGCCTGGGCCTTATTCTTTGACGCCGTCGTGGCTGATGCTTTGTGTGTTCTGAGCACCTGGGATTCCATGGGGCAGCTGACCGCACATACACGGGCTGGGCCATTCTTCCGTGCGCTCTTCCCAAAGTCACTGCAGAGAGACCCCTTACAGGGGAGGGCTCTGGCGCCCAGTGGATCTTGCCCGGCTTTGTGACGGTGTGTTTGGAAACTTCTGGAGGCGGTCACCGCAGAGGCGTCTTTTTCTGGAGTCCCGGGCTCCAGGGGGGGAAGGGGGAGGTTTCCTGCCCTTATAGCAGGCTGTTCCTGCCTACTGCTTTTAGTCCTTCTCTTCTAGAAGGTACCAGCTGCCCCGAGACTGCTTTTTGCTGGCCATAGATGAGCTCCCAAACACTTAGTTTCTCTGCCACTCAGTTTCCTTGTCTTCAAAGGAAGCACAGTAATGCCTGGTTGCAAAGAGTAAGTGAGCTAATATATGAGAAGACCCACCAAAGTGGCCTGTAGCATTGCTTAGAGAGGTAGTGACTCAGGGCCAGGCTCAGCCCTTCGAATGCCAAGCACAGTGGCCCTTCTTTGCTTTTCTCCCTTAGGCTTCTGGGAGTTATTCCCCCTCCTGGAACTGCCTGTCCCGCATCTTCCTCTTGGGCCGTGCCCATGGCATCTTAGTTTGACATCCGTATGCCCTGCTTTGTAAATCTGAGCCTCCCTCTGCCCGTGTCCTCAGGCCTTGCTTCCTCGCTCTGCAGACTTTACCTCCGAGAGCTGCTCCTTTCCTGGCTGGGAGCCAGCTTTTCTGGGGAGATGCTCACCCTGCACATCAGCTCTGTCCCGCTAAGCCCTGTCCTGCTGGTGGCCGGGCCAGTTTTCCATGTTCTTTACATGTGGTATTTTTAGGATACAGGTATCTCATCAGCGCATTACCATTATTTTGGTATTTAAAAATATGAATCTGGATCATTTAAATGAATAGACATGCCCAGAAAGGTCTAGGCTGCATGAGAGTTTGGAATGGAACCTACGTATTCACATTCAGGAAGTGTTCTGACCCCACCCTCCCTCTGTGTGAGAGTCTCCTGAGGCATCTCACATCCCCGTTGCCCGATGACCGGTGAGAAGGAGTGTGTTTTCTTGCGTTTGTTCCCCATAGGTATTTCCCTCAGAGCCATTTGCAATGGGTGATGTCTCTTTATTTTGTGTTCCAGAGCCCAGCTCCTTGCCTTGCACATAGTAGGTGCTTCAAGAATGACTTATGATTTTTTTGTTTTGTTTTGTTTTGTTTTAGTTTTTAGGGCTGCCATAGCAGAGTACCATGAACTGCATGGCTTAACCAACAGAAATACATTGCCTTACGGTTTTGGAGATTAGAAGTCTGGGGTCAAGGTGTCAGCAAGGCCATGCTCTGTCGGCAGGCTCTAGAAGAATCCTTCCTTGCTTCTTACAGTTGCTGGTGGCTGTGGCAATCCTTGGTGTGTGGCTGCCTAACCCTAGTCTTCTTCACGTGGTGTTCTCCTGGTGTGTGTGTGTGTATCCAAATTTTCTCCTCTTTCTGAGGATACCCATTATACTGGATTAGGCTTACTCTAATGACCTCATTTTAATTTGCCCTCTCTCCAAATAAGGTTAAGTTTGGAGGTACTGGGGGTTAGGACTCCAACATATCTTTTTTTTGGCAGACACAATTCAGCCCAAAACAAATTTCTTTGAGAATGTTATCTGAAATTATATTAACAACTCAGATAAATGAGCTGTGGGCTTTTGTTTATATATTAAAAATTATTAAAAATATGGGAGAGGAAATGCTCTTAGTTTGTGGGTACACATTTCATACTGAGGACGTGATAAATATGGAATAGAATGTTTATAAAATTGTTGAACATTAAAATTCAAACTGGTGTAGATAATGTTGAAATTAACCCCCATCATTTCCAAAGAATTTTGTGAATGTATGTACCCATATTCCTGTGCAAATCTGTATGTAGTGTATTCTTACACACACACACACACACACACACACACACGGCAGTAAGAGAACTAACACCAGCTATTACAGATTTATCAGCTAAATCAGGGTCTCACTGCATACTTGAATTTTAGCGAGCACGACCTGAGCTCTGCTGAGTCTGTGTGGTGGTGAAGGCTTTTGCAGACGACAAAGTAATTTGAAGCAGATGATATTTTCTTTCTTTTTTTTAGATTTTATTTATTTGTCAGAGAGAGAGAGAGAGAGAGGGCACAAGCAGGGGGAGCGGCAGGCAGAGGGAGAGGGAGAAGCAGGCTCCCCGCTGAGCAAGGAACCCGACATGGGGCTGGATCCCAGGACCCTGAGATCATGACCTGAGCGGAAGGCAGACGCCCAACGACTGAGCCACCCAGGCGCCTCGAAGCAGATGATATTTTCAGTAGCTGTTAACATCCCACCAGTGTAGGTGTCCGTTAGTGACCTGTCTTTTTACAGAAGCGGTCTCTCTTTAGATCTTTAAGAACAGCAGTGAGGGAGAGCAGGTACGTGTGTATGAACGCAAAGTCGGGAACTTTCATAGCCCAGTACAGTGTTTCAAAGGAGCAAACCCTTGCCATTCAGCTTTATAGTCCCCTTGCCCTTAAAAGCTCTAGATGAGTAAGCGTGCTGAGTCCTCGTCCTTGGCGTGACTGTTTATACCACAGCACGGGCTGTTGCCAGGTGGGGGAGTGTGCTGCCAGGATTCGGATTGGCACTGGTGGTGCCCAAATGGCGTGCAGGCCTCCGTGTGCTCTCCGAGATAGCAGCCCCGGGAGGATGGCAAGAGGCCTGAGTCCTGGTGCTGGTTCCCTCACCCGCCACCATAGTGGTCGGGCCAGACAGGTCATCTCTGGGCCTCAGTTTTCTCTTCTAGCAAATGTAGGTATTAGCCTGGAGCCAGTGTTTTTCCAGATTTCTTTAGCTGTGGACCTCTGTATTCAACTGAATATATAGGGAAGTCCATCACTAAAAGAGGGGAAAGCCTAGGGACTGCGGTTTCAAGCAAGGCCAGGGCTGTGCCGGCTGCTCCAGCAGTCTCCCCCTCCCACCCGCCACCCCACACCCCCTGCCCCAGCCTTGTCAGACACCGAGGATGGCTGGGGTACCGTTTACAAACCCATTGGACTACACAGCTCTTTTCCATTTTTTGACCTCCTGAGATTGCGACTGTCACCCTAGGAAGAGCCACAAGACCAGTCGAGGGGTGAACATCTCACTGTCACGGCGATGGCTATGACGCAAACAGCTAAAAGACCCAAGAAGAGAGAGGCAGACAGACAGAAGCCTCCAGACAAACGCATAGACTTCAGCAGGATCCCAGATACTCAGAAATGGAAAGACCCCACCACTAATAATAGAATCTATCCATATCTCCTAGTATGCCCAGCAGAGTCCCCTGGGTTTTATATGTATTATTC